TTTTATAGTGCTAGTGTGCTCTACTCATACCAAGACATTTGTGGCTGAAAACCAAAAACTCACATCGATGACTGATTAAAATAGCTAGCTAGGAAGATGAAGGAATCGCACAGAATAAGGAATTATTATTATCATCCATGGTTCAGTGGGCATAGAAAGCAATGAAACAAAAAAAAAGTGTATGGCCCCTTGGTGTTGGATTTCATGCCCCTAACCTTGACAAGCATATATTCTCCTGTTCCTGTGATTTGTCTTCTTCTCGAGACACCTTTAAATCCTGCAACTTTACGACCTCCTTTTAAGGGTTTTGCCATATGTATTTGACCTAAAAGTTCATTTTATACTCAAGTGGAGGAAAGCATCACCAAAATAATGATCCATGTTAAACAATTGAAGGAAATTAAATAGTATCTTAATTAACAACTTCTTAATTAGTACCTAGCTATAAAGTGTTTAACACGAGAGTTGTATAATTGTAAAAAATAATCTTCTTCTTTAATGACGGGAAAAGAGAACTAGTGCTCATTTCTTTTTATGTATAAATAATATCTACATATAAATTTTGATGTTTACCTTAACGTCAAGACAAACTTTACTTGCCAAAGATAATGTGCTCTTATTTGCAGAGACTAAAGTTGTTTGAGCATCTTCTAAGTATGATTAGCTAGACCTTACACACACACACACACATATATATACATATGAGCTTAGTTAGAATCTCTCCGCCAGCTAATGATCAACCAGACTAAGATACTCGAAGAGATTGCAGATCGAAGCTTTTTGGGTTTGGCAATAGTTTCACTAAATGTAAAGCTGACGGCTTTGGTTAGTGATTAGGATGTGAATTAAGAAGGTTCTAATTCGCTTCTTAAAGATTAATTACAAGACAATGAAGCTAATTCAACATTATGGTTATGTACGTACCAATTATACTAAAGTAATTAGACAAAAACATTATTCATATGTCTGAAAAAGTTTACAATAAAGTAGGTGAAGGTCTATATTATATTGTAATTTGTAACCTCTAAGTGCCACAGATGACCCTGGCGTTGACTGGCAAAGACTACAAAAAAAGAGCTGTTATTTCTATTTAGTTTAATGATGGTGATGGACCCTAAAGTCATTAATGATAACAACTTGCTTTTTAGTGGGTTATGGGACAAAATTAAGATTAAATTAATAATTAATGCTCATGAGTTTATTAGAATTATTATATGTATGTATAGTGTATGGACCCATCATCCATCCATATATGTAACTTGTAAGGAGATGCTTGTTAATTGGTTTCAAATTGAAGTCCACATCCTTACCCACTCACAGCATTTCTTTTCTTCTTCTTCTTTTTCTTCTTCTTCTTCTTCTTCTTCTTCTTCGTCTTAGTCTTTTTCAGACAGACCAAGTTATAATTAGCTTCACTCCTTTGCACATGCATTAAAGAAGGTAGAGAAATGACCTTTCAACCGAAGATCACTAGTTTGGTTAATTTGTTTTACTAGAGCTCGTGACGAGGCTTTCTTTTCCCACATGTCATTATCTTCGTGATATATTGGAGAATGATTCTAAGGTTGATGAGAAAATCATTACCAAGCAAAATTATTAAACTGCTAAACAAAATTTTATGTATGTCTCTATATTTTATACCAAAAAGTTGTGAGAATGCTTCGTGATATATTGGAGAATGATTGATGAGAAAATCATTACCAAGCAAAATTATTAAACTGCTAAACAAAATTTTATGTATGTCTCTATATTTTATACCAAAAAGTTGTGAGAATGAATCATCAATGATTTGAAAGCCGACTGGACGAAAATTATATACTAAATTCGACATTACAAGTGAATTTCATTAATAAATAGATATTGACTTTAAAACAAAGAATTTTGAAGTAAAACTTTCACGCATGTTATGTACAACTCATTAACACACTAAAAGGCCGATTTACAACTTGATAAATAAGACCATTGACAACCCAACCCATTAACAAAACAAAAAAGCCTATGAGATAAATATTTTTTGTTGAAGCCAACAGAGAAGAGAATATGGTGCTGGTTGCTTAGTAGCGTATTGCATATAAACATATAAAATGGGGATTGATTAATTACACATTAATTAAAGGCTTTTGAAATTAAAAAAAGAAATGGAAAAGGAAAAGAATTCTTAAGATGTACGAATCTTTGAAGAATCATGAAAGTGAAAATAATAATTGAAATTTCTTTTGTAAACCAGATGTAGAAGCAGCTTTAGTGAAATGAATCTTGGAAGATAGTGAGACTAGGAAATATGGAAAAGGTGACAAGCAAAGGGAAAGAAGGAGAGAAAGAAAAAGCTCTCGATAAAGAAGAAAAGCTTTAAAGAAAAAAATAGTTGGAAGAAATAAATTAATGTAGTTTGTAAGATGGGTGGGTATGCTAAAAGAAAAGTTGAGCTTGCCCATGCTCTGATGATCTGATCTCACATTCCCCTTTTTTCGTCTGATGTGAACTTTTGTGGGGCTAATCAAATTATTAATTATAACCCCTTCTTTGATGGAGAATGACAACTTAATCATAATTTAATTTTTATTTCATTCTTAATCTTAAGCTCTCTCTCTCTCTCTCTCTCTCTCTCTCATTCACAAATAATTTGAGTGGAGAGTCCAAATTCACGAATATATATATCTATTATTTCCTAGACTTATAATTATGATTAACTAGTGAGGCTAATCTAATCTAACGCAAGCTCCCATTTTGCAGTTGAATTAGCTCTCGAGCCAGTCTCTCTCCCCATTGCTCATACATGCACAATGATGCACTTGCAAATTAATACTACTGTTGGCATATCTTTAAAAGTAGCAGACAACAAGTCATGTATTTACAGGGTGTTCATAAAAAAAAAATTATATTTTGTCTGGGCAAGAGTTTTTTTTGGGTTAGAGTAATTGTTTGCCACTAGCCAGGAGATATGATTGAACAATAATCAAGATCTCAGATTTTTATTTATTTATATTTTTTAAATCCTCATCGCAACCAACCGTCATATTATTCTACCCTTGAATAAGGAATGAATGCCTGCCGCCCCTGCTTCTCTCATTTTTGCTTCCTCACCTCAAGATCTGGGCCGGGGCATGGCAGCAATACTACTTATATTATGCCATCCAGAATGTCTGTCGGACGTACGTGAACTGAAGATAGAAAATATTTATTCATTTTCGCATCTACCTATTTATTATATATATTTTTAAAGATTCTTAATATTAATCTATGTCTTGTTAATTCCCATTTACAAGTTTTGTACTAGTTATTCAATATAGGGTTTTCAACTGCAATGATCATGAATTTATATATCTGAGTTCAATTTTTTGATGATTCAACTAATTTTCGTGTTATTTTAGTCCTCCAACTCTCTCACATATATAAAACAAGTGGATCCTACTAAAGAAGATCGACCGACGTGCGTGTTGATGGTCATCGTAAAGGAAGGAAGGAGATAGGCCTAGAAAGATAGATTATGCAGCTAAGTAAGCATGCAAACTTGTTATCAGTGTTGTGTACAGATATAACAACGAGTCTTCGATATGGAATGATGTGATCTTCAATTTTCGTATAACCTACTCAGCTTCCAATTCCATGTCTCGCAAAGATGCTTTAAAAAATCTAAAACCAAAAGCTAAAAAGTAGAGACCAGTCATATTGACCAACCAACTATAACAAGCAACTGTACTGTCGTTGAACCTACGCATAAATGAAAATCTCTTTTTGGGACCAGCCATTCCTCACTCAGTAAAAAACCATCTCACCATATTCATCGTGTGCAACCAAAACCAAAGTATCAATGAAAATTCATCGCGTGCAACCATAATATAAATAAATTATTATTCTGATGAACGATCTTTGATTACTTGAACTACTCCTAATTCCTCCCAGGAGATTAATTTGATGTCGTTCAGATATAAACACAAGGGCCACATGCACACATGCATTACTATATATAGATATTGTCAAGATAAAAAGATAGCCTGCTTCATTCAAAAAATCATATATATATATCTATACACATACATAAAGCTTTTGGCTAGCTATGTTCGTGGCTTTGGTAGCTAGGAGTACTATTTGTGATGATAGAAGTCTGCGTTCAACGTAGATATGCTTGCTGATAGCACAAGGGTTCACATCAAATGCTTAATTTGTGTCTGCGTGTGCATCTGAAACACCAAAAAGAAAGGGGGAAGGTTGCAATCATCGTCCTCTATTGTCCCTCTTGAAGATTACCATGCCCAACATGTACGTGCACTTTAATTAATGGAAGTGATGTTCACCACCGAAAACCCAAGGAGAGATTTTACCAAAAAGCAAATAATATTCATGATATAAGCAATACTGATTGCCACGACAATACTGATAGCATACACAAACTCATAAGCGATTTAGAGAAGAGTTCATCATTCACTCGCATTGAGATTTTCTTAGTAAATTTGAATTAATATTGAATGCATTTTCAGAAATATATATATATATGCCCGGGTGAAATCTTGTTTCTAATCAACGTGCCTAGGTGAATATGTTTGTTAATTAATATTTAATCATATTTACTCTCTTTTTATAGAACTAAACCATCCATAGTGGTGTCCTAATAATAAATGTTCTATTTATTTTATGACACAAAACTTGAGCTTAATTAGCATATCATTGGATAGAATTGGATTGATCGCATTCACTCGATAGAACTGGAGAGTAGTTCACTGCAGAGAAGTTCTATTTGCTACTTATACCCACCATTCCAAATGAGAGAAATCCCCTATTTACTACTTATACCCCACCATTGCAAATGGGATATATACATAAACATCCTTGGACATGTGGGGTTGAGAGAGAGAGAGAGGGTAAAGCGTGTGGTTACCATCATTTCTCTTCTGAGACCTGGTTGACAGCCTTGGGATTGAAGGCAGGGATTTTAATCATGGCGTAGAGGAAGTATATAATCATCCGCCTGTAATTGCAGAGAGGGTGCAAAAAGAAATATATATATATATAGCTAGGTAGAGGAGAGAAAAAGAGAGAGAAAGCCTGAAAAGAAAATATAAAAAAAATTAAAGTCAGAGAGAGAGGTATGGAGATGAATAATAAGTACTCACGCTCTCTCTTTCTTTCTTTCTTTCTTTTCAAGGCTACTTTAATCAATACATAAGGATATGTAAACTTGAAAGAGTAAAGAGGAAACTGAGAAAAGTGTCTAGCTTAGCTAAAAGCAACCACCAAAGGTATGCGGGTGTCACAACCTGAACTGGGTTTTCTTTGAATTGTGTGAGAGATTCCTGGAGCAAAGCTAGTTACTTACTTAATTAATCTTAATTTATTGCTTATCTTGGGATTTTCAAGCTTTTTCGAAAACAATTATATCATTATATATGGAGTCTGCAAATCTCCATCACCAACATCATCAGCTCCAAGAGAATCTTGTTGGGTCTTCTTCTTTAGCAGCTACCCCATCTTGCTATGCAGTTGGAACCAAGCATGCTTGGACCCCTTCTGCCACTTTGTAAGTCTCACTCCTCTCTCTTTCTCTCTGAGCATTCAATAATTAATGAACATTTGGCTGTTCATAAATGCAGAGCTTTAGAAAATTTGGAATTTTTATTGTTTCTTTAATCTTTTTTCTATTTTGATTTGATGTTCATATCAGTCAGGAACTGCATGCTGAAATGACAACCAGAAATTTGCTTCTCTGTTAGGTTCTTGTTAATTATGAAAATGTTTCAAATAGGTTCAAGCTGTTTCCAGTTGGAATATTGCTTTGGAATTTAAATAATTAAAGTTCACGATGAAATGTACAAATATATACTTGCACCAGTATATATATGGAAAACTTCATGCGTGCCATATATAATTAATGAAGAATAAAAACTTAAATAGTTATCAACAATTTTGTTGTTGAATTGAATGAAACAAAAAAACTAATGAGAAAAGGGGGCACTAGTTGCTGACCCCTTTTAATTTGGAATTAATATTTATGTATTTTTATTTTTATTTTCTCATGAGTAGTGTTCATTACATTTAAATTGTGCAGGAGCAGTAGTGTTAACTCATCAAATTCAGGCTTGGATCCCCTCAACAGTTCCATGGTACCAGACTTGGGCTTTCACTGGCTCACCAATATTACTAGTGAGCATCAGTCTCCCCATGACCTTGCTAAAATTAAGGAAGAGCTCACTTCATCATCCTCCTCAGATCATCATCACCATCATCATAATTCCTTCCCAAAATTAACAGAAATGCTGACCAGCGCCGCCGCGTCAGCTAGTATAGATCATGATCAGTATTACCAATGTATGAAGAATGAGGAAAAAGACCAATTGATCATGAATGACCTCAGTGAGAAGCTCTTGCTCAAGACTTTGTCTTCTGGCTGTCAACTCAATAGTATTATCAATCCTCATCACCACCAAATTTCATCAGCTGGAGAGTTTTACTCAAATGATCATCATCATCATCTACTCCACAATTCTAATCTAATTGGAGGCGTGCCGCCGGGGATGCCTAGCAGATCAGGAGGCCACTTCAGCCAAATTTATCCAAGCATAAATGTTTCCAACTTGAACCGGTCGTTGTCTTCGTCGTCAATCTCAAGCTCTAGCTTGGACATGAACTTGCAGGCCATGGATCTCTTAGGCGCTGCTGCAAGATTTAGTACCGGGACTAGTAGTAGTTTTAGCACGCAGCCTAATTCACATGATACCCTTGGCTTATACAAGGAAACGCATGATTCGTTTGCTACTCTTCAACAGATTCATCAATCAACTGACCCTCATAGGCTATCGTGCGGCAATAATAATAAGGTGCGTTTTCTTCTCTTCTTACCCTAGCTAGTCAAACCAGCTGCGTATATTTTATTTTTAAAAATAGTTTTTACTCTGCACATTCCACTAATTAATTATGTGTAGTTAATAATTCATGGTATACATATAAATTTGAACCCTAATAATCATGTAAAGCATATATCATATTGTGACAATTTGCTAAACTATAATTCAAGTCAAAGAGTATAAACGTAATGAAATTAATCAGAAGTTACTTTTCTATTTAGGTTTAGGAAAAATAAATCCAAAATTCAAAAGTTAATACACTTTATTCTAAAATCTTTATTTGCTTATATGGCATCAAAAGAAAATGTAGAGCCTCCCCTTTTTGCAACATTGGGGGTAGCTTCAACTTTATACAATGTGTGTGCATCTCCTTTTTTCAGAAGGCTTTTCTTTTCTTTTCTTTCTTTCTTTCAAATACTGATTTTTCGTCTTTTGGAATTCAAAGATATCATCTTTCGACAATGAAATAACAGAGGTGAAGCGACCCGGCAGTTCGATCGAGCCAAAGGTAACTCAAGCAACTGCACCAAAGAAATCGCGATTGGAGTCGCGCACTGCATGCCCACCCTTTAAGGTGCCAAATTAACCTTGTGATTAATTAAGCTGAAAATTACTTGCTTTGATGTGTACCATCAACAGTTTTTGGCATTTGTACAGGTTAGGAAGGAGAAACTGGGAGATAGAATCGCAGCTCTTCAGCAATTGGTGGCACCCTTTGGAAAGGTAATTATTTCTCTACTTCTCTCTCACTTTAGAAATATTGAAAAAAGAAAACTTGTATTTTCTCTGTTTAATGTGTTTCAGTTGAATTTAATTAGCAAGTCCATATTGCAGACAGACACAGCATCCGTTCTGATGGAGGCTATCGGATACATCAAATTCCTTCAAAACCAGGTCGAGGTATTTCAGTGATTTAATCTTAATCATGCTTTAATTTAGAGATCAAATAATAATGTCGAGACCACACCAAACCTGCCAAATTAAGGTACGGAGATGCTTTCTACAATAGAAACCCAACTGTCCTACGTTAAGCATTTCGTACGTACGTTGATTAACATGTGTATGGCGCTGGCCGCTAGGGTTTTCCCTGGGCATGCTTTTCAAGTTTTGAGCCTTATCTCCACGATCAATTTCTTGAAGTGAACTTTCCCAAGACGTATCTTATATATAGTCTGGGATGCACTGAAGCATATACAAACGATCATGTCTCTGGTCTGGTCTTGTCATGCCCATGTGGCTCGTTTGGATTGAACTAGGAAGATAAATAACGAGAGATGAAGAAGAAGATAAATTAGTCTCATCAATCTCCTAAAGGAACAAAAAGGAAACAACTTTGGTCACTCACGACCTTCATTCTTGTCTGGCCTCTGGTCTTATCTTAATTGGAACTTGGGATCTAAAAGCGACATACATTCACTATTTTAACAAGAACATCTCCCGCTCGATTGATAATATGATGGGATGCTTGATAGAAAGGGGAAGACTACTTTCAATTATTGAAGCAAATTCAATTTTCTGCTTGTGCTTTTATAAGGATATAGTTTTTTATTCATTTTACACGTTTTGTGTGCAGACCCTAAGCGTCCCATATATGAAGTCATCACGCAACAAATCCTGTAAAACAATGCAAGGGGTAAGAATTATTGAGATATCCGTACCAACAATAATGTCGTGATTTCGTCAGTCTAATCATGTGATTTACATGCCTGAAAATTGTTGCAAAATAGTATTTTGTTTTTGTTCACCCTACATGCATCTTGCTTGTGAAAAATGTTGTTGTAATACATTTCATGGCTAAATTGATTTTCTTAATTAGTTTAAATGACGCATTGTTAACCATAATTTCAGGGTGTGACAGAGATCAATGGAAATGGCGAAACAAAGCGAGATCTTAGAAGTAGAGGATTGTGCCTCGTTCCTTTATCGTGCATGTCTTATGTGACAAGTGACGTTGGTGAGGGTGGAAGCATTTGGCCAGCGCCTAACTTTGGGGGAGGGACTTAACATTAATGTTATATTTTACTTGATCATATAAGTTAAGAGTATTGGGCAAATTAAATACTGGCTTACTCTTCTAAGTCCATACTAGTGAAATCTTCGACCCCCTCCAAAGTTTAATGGAGCAAATTTGGTCATCCTGTCAACAATTCCAGAATGGACCAAGTTTGATCCATTAACAATTCATGTGTACCATTTATAGATCTTCTGGCACCTAGGGGACCTTCTTTCACGTAATTTATGTACTCAATTTTTCGATCAATAAAAGTTTAACTAAGCATTTTGATTGTATTTGGATATTTTCTTTTTTTATTGAAGTTTTAATTCATTGCAAACCACCAAAAGGACAGAGAACGATACAAACAAAGCCGGGCAAAAATTTGGACACTACATTTCCCAGGCCCTCACTATAGAATTCTTGTTATAGATGCTTTCCTTATAAATACATAACAATTTTATTCATTTTCTAAATTGTTTATATTTTGTTGCATAATATTTTTTTCCTTTCTTGCCTTAGACTTGCCCTAGACTTAGCCCCCATGGGTGGAACCACAAATGGCAAGGCTGACACTATTCACATGAATAGTGACAGCCCTTGCTTGCCCTTGCCCTAGACTTAGCCCTTATGGGTGGACATGCTCTTAGATGATGCCTTCCACCGTATGGTGTTTTGTCACCGCCGTTAAACAATTTTGTATTTAATAAATTAATAATAATAAAACGTATTTTTTAGGTTCATAAAAAATAGATTGAGAGTAAAGAGTGGCGGTAGGACTTGGGACCATTGGTGCCATGCCTTGTTTGAAAGTGAAGAAGTTGCAAATCTACTTTCCAATGAGATGAGAGGCCAATAGTTTGTCGACTTGTGCATACAATTCCAACTACTCTCTACCTCCATATTTTTGTCAAAGTTTCTATCATGGTTTACTCAGCAAGATGACAATATTGGCTTCTGGGGACCATCTTTGATCTATTTTCTTTTGCGTTTTCTGTTTGGCTCTATTTTGAGGGAACTTCCTTTTCATATCAATACATTCTATTCAAGAAACTTAATTATAAATTAAAGCATTAACAAAAATGTCTTATATTTGAAATTTAAATTAATTGTTGGACTACCTCTGATGACATAATAGAGTATTAGTAAGAAAACCCCACACTTAAGGCTACAAATAGAATCTCCCACTATCCTCTCCCTTGTAATTTAGACTATAGCGTATATTAAAATATATATTAGTAATAAAGTCATACAATTTTATGGCGAAACGTCTATTATATGTTTCGGGTGACATCATTTGGTAGACTAACCCCAAGTAAAAGTTGCATAAATTAGGGGCAAGTTGCTTTCATTCATTTATGTACCATATTAATTATAGAATTGCGAGTTGTCTCTTAATTAATCGTTTACTTTATTAAACTAACAATAGTTACAACTTACAACAACCTAAAAAACAACTCGGTGACGTTTACATATGCTCAAAGATCAATTGCCATATTGATGATTCCTTATTTTACTGGTAAGTTCTCGTATTTCTACTAAAAAACTAAAAAAGGGTATTTGCCAGATCACCATCTCAAGCCACGTCAAAACAAATTGCCAGCTGCTTTTTGACTATTCTCATTTTTTTTTTCCCTAAAATTTTGAAATGAAGAATTACTCTTAATAAATTATTATGTAAATTTTCAATAAATCAAGAGTAGCAAAAAAAGAAATCTAATAAATACATCCCACATAAGAATCCAACTACCACTTTTTTCTTACCCCACAAATAATACACACACACACACAATGTTTGTTTGGCTTGGGCTCCATCAAGTTATTATTTACTGGCGAAGCTGCCATTTTTATAGCCCAAAAAGAAGAGAATTGAACTGCAATCACGTTTCACGGCCCAAGTGTAAACAAAAGCTAAAAGAGGAGTAAAAACAAAGGGTTCCGAGTGAAATCCACACACTGATATTTTGAGGAAGAAAACAGAATTTTGATATTTTTGAGAGAGAGAGAGAGAGAAGCCTTATCCAGATCCCCCTGGAGAAAGAACACACGTGGCAGTCAGGTAAGTAATATTGATCTCGTCGGCCGCCGGCACTGTTGCACCTCAGATCATGTAATGATGTCATTCTACGCGCGCAGCCGCTACTTTCAGTCAGACCGGTATTATCCACTTCGGTCAAAGGTCACAAATACCCTCCATCACTTGACAAATCAGCTTCTTTTCTGAAGGGGATAGAACCGTAATTTTAAAAACGTAGTTTATTCATCATGCTCTCCCCCAAGCACTTCAAGCATTTTAAAGGTATCTTTCTCTTCGTACAATACAATTATACGAAGGAAGAATCTCTTATCTTCTCCCCCATCTCTCCTTTTTTTTATATGTGATCCTCCTTGTCGGTAATTTCTCCAATTTTCTTCAATCCAAACAAGCTTCAATTGCTTCATCTATAAGCTTTCTTTCACTTCCCCTCTGTTTTTTTTCTTCCGATCATTCGATCACAAGCTTTATTCGATTCAGATCTTTGAGGATTTTGCGTTAATTTCATACTCATCGTCAATCGCTTTCCTTCAGGAAATTAATATATCGGAATCGGATTCCGGAATCCGTGAAAATTTATGCAGCATCGGTGAGACAAAAGCTCCGGAAAACGGAAGGGTGAGAAAGCTTTGATCGGTGATTAAAGACTTCTGACCGTAGATCTTTGTTTTTGAAAGGTAGAGAGCTTTTCAAGGCCTTAAGGTCTGATTTTGGTTCTGATCTGGTTTCATATCTGTGATTGATGCTCTCTAACACTTCCAGCTGACTATTTGGTGCTTGAAACTTGAAAGAGAGAGAGAGAGTGAGTGAGAGTGGATTTTAATTTTTGTTGTTAATTGTATCATTTTAACTTCACTAAATCATGACTTAATTATCAGATTATAGATTAACATATCAATAGCTCATATCCTCGTTTCATGATAATCAAACATGGGAATTTATCGAAATATGCTGAAAAGAGAATCACTCTTTTAATTTCATGTATTTTCTCGGTAACCAAACAGCACTTCATCTTTATTTTATTTATTTTGTGGTAGATTTTGGAGAAGGTACCATGGTTTCTTTGCAAGGGCCAGTAATTTGCCCCACTGTTCGCGCAAAGCAATCGGGGTATGACACTCTGCCAGTGGTAGGCCCTTTGGTGAAGGCTAGGCTTCTTAGAAGTGAATTATGTACATTCAGAGGGGTCAGCGGTTGCATCACAAAGGCGGGTTTTGTTTCTCGCCCTCAAAATGCACGAAAATGCACAAGAGTGCATTGTACTTTCAGTTCTTCATCAAATGGTAATGGAAGTATGGCCGAGAATTTCAATGAAAATGATGAAGATTATGTCAACTCCAGTGTACTTGAAGCCGGTACGCTATGCCATCGGCACCTCATTTTTCGTAACCGCTAATTCCAGCTTAGAATTGTAATCATGAATCGTTATAATTTAGCGCTTAATGACATAACATAAAAAATTCTTAGCAGTCTGTTCGTTTCTTGTTGCATAAATATGGTGGCAACAGTGGTCGTGATATTACTATAATTTTGTTTCCTGATTTTGTGTACTGTTATTTCCTATGAACCGTTGAATGATAAGTGTTTTTCCTTTGGTTTTTGGTGTAGTTGAGGTGAAGAGTGGAATTGATGGATTCATGATCAAAATGAGGGATGGTAGGCACATGAGGTGTGTCCATAACAACCCTCAGGGGGGCCATCTTCCCGATTATGCTCCACATCCTGCCATTGTGTTGAAGATGGAAGATGGGACTGGTCTTCTTCTCCCAATAATTGTTTGTATGTTAATATTGAACGACTACTCTTTAATATTACGAATTTTGTATTTTGGAATTTACATCCGAAATCTCTTTAACTTTATGTCAATTTGAAGTTGGGTTTACCTTTGATTGCAGTGGAGATGCCCAGTGTGTTGCTCATGGCAGCAGTGCGCAATGTTCCAATTGTATGGTTGCTCTCCCTATCGTCCTTCCATTTGAATTAAGATTTTGTTTTTGTTTTTCTTTCTGGGTTTGTTGAGCTGGCAGAATTAAACTTCGTCAGCATATTGGATTTGCATACGAGAGGAATTCAAAAAATCTATAATTCTTGGTATTTGGTTTCCAGGCTAGGCCAACTATGTATCAAGTGGTCAGGGAGATGATTGACAAGATGGGTTATGAGGTATGTGCGATATTTTCTTCTGTTACAATATAATAATTCATGTCTGTTACAAATGCATTCTTCATGATCTTTTTTTGTAATTTTTTGTTTTCAATCTCTGCAGGTCCGACTTGTCAGAGTCACCAAGAGAGTACATGAGGCGTATTTTGCTCAGTTATACCTCAGAAAGGCATATACCTTCCCTTCATTTGGATTATTTTTTATTGTTATAGTTATTATTAATATTCCTATTATATTATTGTCATTTGGGGTGGGGAAAAGGGGGGAGGGACTGCATTAATTCTGGAACATCAATTTTTTAGTGGGTTAGTGGTATAGTGACACTCTGTTAGAAGTGATCACAGGCTGGTAGTGAGACAGAGTGTGTCAGCTTCGACCTTCGGCCTTCAGATGCCATCAACATTGCTGTAAGATGCAAGGTACGCTGATTGTGCTGCTTAAGATATCTACTTTCTGAATCTTAGATGTAAGATTGCTTAGAATTAAATTACCTACTAATTTCTTTGAACCTTTAGAATGTTCAGAAATCAAGGAATGTAGTAATCTACAAGAGTATTAAGGCCCCAAATAGTTGGTAACAGTTTAGTTATCAACTGTATCCTTTTCACATTCTGTGCAGGTTCCCATTCAAGTCAACAAGTACCTGGCATATAGTGATGGAATGAGAGTTATCGAATCTGGAAAGCTCTCAAGTCATGCCCCTGCTTCAGATGGATTATTATTTACTGAGCTGGATCGGTAAGTTTTGGATGTCCTAGAGATGTATCTTTTTTTCTATCTCGAAGGGGTTATTCTGGAGTTGAATTTGTGAAGCTTGTCTTGGAATGTGGTTTAGATCCCAAGGTTCAGTGGACTTTATAAAGTTCATTTAGTTGGGCTTGAATAAGATGAGCTGTTAAGGAATGCAATCTGACTGATCAGATGGTTGCCTATGGTATACGTAAATGCTTGTTCAGTCTTTCTGAAATTCGTGCAGAAAGGTGTTTGAAATGTATGCATATTCCAATTGGCTAGAAGGGGTTGATTGATGGTTAAGATTGGTGTCTGCGTTGCATTATAATCTGAGCAAGAAAGAATTGCCCTCAAAATTCATCTTTC